ACTTCAAATGACTTGAAATTCCTGGTGTGAACTAAGATAGGTGCAATCTTTATTTTTGTGAAATACCAATAAAATTCAATGTATTCTGTAAGCAGGAGCAATGTTTAAATTTGATGCCTATTTTAGTGACATTTTTGGGATTTTGGGCAAAAAACCAGGGGGGGTGGTCTAACTCCTAAGGGAAAAATCACAAAGCTGGCCCACTTTGTCTTTTAGAGTTGTTGGGTAGTACCTTCAATCTGGCAAAGTTTTATCCAAAGAGGAGAGATGGCATGTATCACCCCTGCCTGGCCCTCTGGTAAACTCGGTCTTAAGTCCTGGTGGGACAGATTCCCATATTTTTATCGCGGAGAATTTAAATGTAGATATACCATAATTAGTGCGTTCTGACAGCTTAAAGATGTTTTGATTTGCAGCATACCTGGTATTATATGAGTGAATATCTGATGCAGTATGAGAATATTCAGTAGTACAGCTGGGGTGTTACTTTTATCATTCTTAAGTTTATATGGAAAAAGTGATACTTTCAGTTGGTAAATATTTTCAAATTTCAAGATTCCAAGAAGATTATAGGGGTTGACATGTTATCTGCCATGAGCAAAGAACATGCTTTGTATGCATTTATTCTGCTTAGTGCAGATTTTATTTAATCAAGTTTTGTAAGCAGCATCGCAGCTGGCAAGACCATAGTTTAAGTATGGATAAATAAGGGTATAATGTAACTGTCTGAGCATATGAAAATCAAGATAGTGTCTTAGCTTATTAATTATAGCTACATTCTTTGCTAATTTATTATTACTATTTTTTAATATTTATTGGGGTTGAATATCAATTGGGATATCGTCCTGTTTTCTGCTCCAGTTGCTGATGCTATTTTCTTTTCTTTCTTTTTTATTATACATGCAACATATTCAATAAATTCAAATCAACAAATTTTTAGAAACGGATTTCACTAAAAAAGTTAACGTTAAAAAGCAACAACGTTTCGACTGCTTGACAGTCATTTTCAAGTTGAAAAGTAAAATTTTTGCATGCGCCCAAATATATACAATTGATTATAAGAATGCTAATGAGACACTGACTAAAACTCTAAAATGTTCACATAGAAACAATACAAGAAAATTGTGGCATGAGTAATAAAAACGTTAAGGCGATAGAAACGATTAAAAAATATATAAAAAATAATTAAGTAAATAGCTTTGTGCGGATCGAGTCACTCTGTTCAATTTTGGTTGAAGGTTACTAATAATAAAGATTGTTACTACTACTACTACTAAAAGCATTTCAAAAATCAAACAGTTGAATTTACTCTGGCATTTTTTCAAAATCCTGAAATTGCTTCCAATGGTCTCTGGATCCTTTCCATGCTCATCCTTTACATGGTTGCCAATTGTTGATCGCTTATGTTCCTCCACACGTTGATGTAGGTGTCGACTCGTGAAGCCGACATAGTCTGTATCGCACAGACCACACTTGTAATAATAAACGTTTTGTTGATTCACAATTGGAGGTTTATGTTCCTTTGGGTTGAATTGTCCTTTGATCTTCTGACTTGTGAAAACAGGCCGGACAACGGCATCAATCTTTCGTCTGAGATCACCGAGTTGGTGTCTTACCGCATTCACCGATGTCTGGTCTTTGAACGGTAAGACAATTCTGATGGGAGCATCTTGTTCATCGGATACTTGTTGTTTAGAGCGCGCATTCTCAGTAACTCTCATTTCAATAAAATGTTTGATGGTGTTCTCTACGAGGGTTTTGGGATAATGCAGGCGAGCAAAAACCATTTTAAGACATTCACATTCTTGATGGAAGAACTGCCAATTCGAGGAGAGTTTGAACGAACAGTTTAACATTGTCTTCTGTAGAGAATGTTTATATCTTATGTCAACATGGCTTTGGTAATGCAGTAAAAGCCCAGTATCGGTCGGTTTCACGTAGACCTTCATATCTAGTCGGGGACCATTTCTGATAATCACCATTCCAAGAAAGGGAAGCTTGCCGTTTTCTTCGAGTTCCATTGTGAAGCTGAGTGAGGGGTGGATTTCATTCATTCACTAATTGTTTTATATATATATTTTAATCGTTTCTATCGCCTTAACATTTTTATTACTCATGCCACAATTTTCTTGTATTTTTTCTATGTAAATATTTTAGAGTTTTAGTCAGTGTCTCATTAGCATTCTTATAATCGATTGTATATATTTGGGTGCATGCAAAAATTTTACTTTTCAACTCGAAAATGACCGTCGAGATGTTGAAACGTCATTGCTTTTTAATGTTAACTTTTTTAGTGAAATTCAATAAAGTAAAGTAAAGTAAAGTACATGTTGAATGTGGGGTTCCCACCGTAGATGCTCATCAAGGTATATACCTAGATACTTAATATAGCTTTTGCATTCAATATTGAGGATATTTAAATGTGTTTTTTTCTTTTTTTTTTTGATGATGTTATTAGCGTGTAATTAGTATTCTTAAAATTTACAGATAACTTATTCAATAGTAATCTCTTCTCTTCATTGTAAATTCAACCTCCTTTGGATTACTACTGGTAAAGAAAATATTAGTATCATCTGCAAATATTCTAAAAGAAAGCTTCTCAGAGGAGTTTGGTAAATCATTAATATAAAGCAAGAATAACAATGGTCCGAGGGTTGAACCGTGGGGAACTCCACATGTGATAGTTTCCATACTGAATTCAATTTCATCAATCTTTACATATTGAGTGCGATTGCATAAGTAGCTTTTAAGCCATTTAAATGGAGTTCTGCAGATTCCATAAGTGTATCATTTAGAGAGCAGAATATCGTGGTTAACTGTATCAAATTCCTTTGAAAAATCGAGAAAAGTGGACATGCCTGGAGACCACTGCCTGTCTCCTAAAATGATCTGGCTGAGAGCCCTTCATGGAAGCTGGCTTCAACTCTCACACTGATTTGTCTAGCTGGGTTGAATGAAGTATGCCTTTATGCTTTCACTTGTTATGCTGGCTTTCAGCTTCTCAAATGCTTCAGTCTCTGCTGCTCCCCATTTGAACTTTGCATCTTTATGGCTCAGCTTTCACAAGGGTGCAGTTAGTGATGTGTATCTTGGGATGAACTTTGATAGGTATCCGGTCATGCCAAGGAAACTTCTCACAGCTTCTTTCGAGTTTGGTGGGCTGCTTTCTTTTACAGCTCTGATTTTCTCTGGGTTTCTCTTTAATCTGTCCCCTGTGGACTTGTGTCCATAAAACTGTATCTCCCCGACTCCAAACTGGCACTTGTCAGGGTTGAATGTGATTCAAAAGTACACTGCTCTCTGCAGTACTGCTTCCAATCTCTTGTTGTGTTCCTCCATGTTTCTTCCTCCGAGCAGGATATCATCCCATTGGTTGAGGCACCTTGGTATGTCTCCAAATATTCAGTACATAACTTCATCATAGAGATGTTGTGATGGTTTTGCTCCAAAGATCAGATGTTTTGGTGGCATGTTCCCCCGTGGGGTGCTGAAAGTGGCAATTTTCCTGGACTCCAGATCGAGGAAGAGTTGGCGGTACCCCTGCCACATGTCGAGTTTGGAGAAGACAGTACATTCATGAAATTTGTACAGAAAGTGTTCAACAGTCAGTCCCTGGGTGATCCTATTTCTTTCCATAAATTGGTTTGTTACCCTGAGGTCCACGCTGGCCCTGATCATCTGCCATTCAAGTTTCTCCTTGTCTACAGCATTGAACGTTGCCTTTGGTTGAACAACCAAGGGTGAACACCATGTGACTGCCTCACCTTCAGGCACCTCTTCGAATATCTCCTCTTCTACACACTGCCCCAGCCATTTCTTCAGTGCTTTTTGCAAGTAGTAAGGCACTGATCTCGGTCTTGGAGCTATGGGCACTGCTTCTGGTCTCATGCTGAACTTTGTATAGAACTCTTTTCCATTCTCGATGTCTCTGATCTTCCCAATGCGTCACTGTATTGATCAGTGATTTCCTTGATTTCAGGTGTGAGATCCTTATCTTGCTTGACACTTTCAATGGCTGGAGGTTTTTCCTGGAATCTCAGGTCATTTGTCTCAGTGAAAGAGCCATCTTCTCTTATCTGTATCATACCTAGCTTTTGAAGGGTGCTTTTGTTGATGAGGGATGGGGAATTGATTCTTCCTCTAGTCACAACAAATCCTGCAACCGCTTTACAGGTCTGGTTCCTTACAGTGGCTGTAAACTCTCCTTTCACAGGTAGTTCACTCTGCAAGGTGCTTAGCTTTACTCTGCTTGGTTGTAGTGTAAGTTTCACACTCGACTGATTTGTCAGTGCTTTAAATTGGTGTTCATCCATGACATCTACTCCTGCTCCATTGTTGGGCTCAGCTCTTACATCAACATCTTCTTTCTTCACTGATACAGTTCTGTCTTCACCATCTGTTTTGATTTTCTTCACTTGCTGTTCAGGAAAGCGTGACATTGCGTTACATGTACCTTATTTAGAAATGAGTGCCAGGGATCAAATGTCAAGTACTTTTGCGTAGTTCCACGTGGTTTCTTGATAGTGCAAGTTTGGGTATTCGCCATGGAGGTTTTTCCTGGTCAAAATAAAGTCAAACATTAAGTTTAACAGCAGATTTATTGCGTCGTTCTCAACACTTGCTTCAGGTGTCTCACAGCTTGGCAAAAGAACTCATCAGAACTTGCTTAGTTGTCAGCATCTTCTTCTTCAGTGGTTCTCTTTACACTGCGTTTACGTCTTGGATTCTCTGGTGGCTTGTGAACGCATTTTTGCTTGTTGCCTTTCTTGCTGTTGTGCGGGCCTTTGGACTTGCACAGAACTATAGTGATTGAACTTTTGACATTTCATACATTTTTTTTCCATACGCTGGACAGTTCTCGCCTTCCTCGTGTGTGCTGTTTGTCCGTGGCAGCATCTGCAGGGTTGCTTTCCCTGATCACTTTGTTTGTTCTTGGGTGGACACCTCTACGCAAACTGTCATCCAAGCTTCTTTACATCTTGACAAATTTTCATGTCGCTTATTTGAAGTCATGTATCTTCGAATTTGAGCAGCTTTGGTTAAAAACTGTGTCAAATCCTATTTCTTGTTGATGGCTTTTTGGATGAGCGATCGATTCTGTGTTGTTTGGATGAGGTGTTCCAAGATTCGTTCATCACAGTTGGCTTCGAATTCGCAGTTGTTGGCTTTCTCTCTTAAATGTGCAGCATATGCATTCGTTCTTTCGTCACTATGGAACGAGCGTGAAAATGTATGCGTGTGGAACGAGTGTGTGAATGTATGCATGTGGAATGTGTGTGTAATAATGCTTATCAGTTTCATAACTTGGGTGTGTAACATTTCATCGGTTAGTTGAATAAATGAACTTCTCGAGTGAAGGTTGTCGTTTTGAAAACTACATGGTGTCAGAAGTAAAGAAAATCCGCATCACCTGGTCTCTCTGACAATCTAACATTCAGTAATGGCAGATGGTCTCTGAAAGCCTGAACCATTGAGCTTCGAGGGTAATGTCGCGCTAAACTGGAAGCATTTC